CCCCCACACACACACACACACCCACACACACACACACACACAGAGAGAGAGAGAGAGAGAGAGAGAGAGAGAGAGAGAGAGAGAGAGAGAGAGAGAGAGAGAGAGAGAGCCCCTATTATGAGATACCGAGATCATTTTGTTCAAAGAAGTTTATGGGCAGAATTTAAAAAATAATAGGTCATTTTGAAGGGAATTTAATAAGCTTTAAAATAAGGTTACATAAAATTTAATTCAAATTTATTTTTTTGGAAAATTAAAGAAAGTAAAAAGTGAGCAAATCGCATAATCTAAAAATTGTGCTCTTAATATGAGACGTCCCGAGAAATCGATAGTAAAACGCGATCATAAGTAATCGATAGTAAAGTATTGCAATTAAAAAACTTTATTTAATGTTTCTAAAATACCAACAAACACAGCCACTGTGCGCGCAAAATGAAAATACGATACATTGTACCTAGGACTCGTCTTCAGATAATTGAAATTGAGCATCGCAGAAAAATAGGCACTCGACGTTCATTCTGATTGTCCTTTTTATCATTTTATAATAACATTTATACTTTAGCAACGATTTTCATTATGACATCGGAGCATGGATTATTTCATATTAGAAATACTCTGGATATCTCTTACGATTTCCACACCTTACAGCTTTACGATCATCAAATCTAACTTCTGTAATTAAGTAATTCAACATATCCCGTATTTTGCTATTGATATTGATGACGTCACTTTTTCTATTAGTACTCTATTATTACATGAAGAATTTATTCTCAAATATTCCCAAATATTTATTTATTAAATAATAAACAATTTAAAGGCTCATTCTCAATGGAACTTGAAGTATCTAAATTCTAAAATCTTTTTTTACGATGATTAGACATGATTTTAATAATGATTTGAATAATATATTTTCTACTAAACAGTTTTAATTCCAACAATAAATTCATGGTGGAACCAATAGATAGCATCTAGTTTAGCGATTAGCTTAGCAGAAACGCCGCTATCTCATATTAAGCGCTTATCTCATAATAGGGGGCTTTCCTCTATTTCAATCTTTCATTTCTGCATAATTTTTTACAAAAAATTTCCTATACTTATATTATTTCTAAGGATGCTCATCTTAGTTTACTCCGAGATAAAGGAATATGAGCACTGGACGGATAATAAGAGCACCCACCATTTTAACATTTGCATTAAAATAATAATAATCAATTTCAATACTAAAATACATATAATAAAACATCAACAAATCTATCAAATGGTATGCATACGATTTGTTTTATTCTTCAGTATGTTAGATATATCAAAAAATATTTCCTTAAGATGTTCATAATATCTACTCTACCCGATACAACAAACATGCATTTACACAGATATTACGCGGTATTACGAAGAACCATTGTATATTTTCTGTTCTTTTAGAATACTTAATAAATCCTTATTTCTGTATTACATTGCAAAAGCTGGTGTATTAGTCCGGATCTACAATAGATTTTTTAAGCCTTAAACCATAAAAAATGAACGAATCACAGTCGATTATTCTCTTCGCATTCGACTGTAGTCAATTTCTTATGATTTAAGGCTTAAAACATCTATTGTAGATCTGGACTTAAATTCTTATTAATACTCATTTCTTTTTCTGTCACGAGCTAATCTTATTTTTAAAATCTTTCGAAGCGCTAATCCGTGAATAAGATTTACAATTATTTCAACTATTATCTTACTATTGATCTTGATCTCTGTTATCTTTGTACTTTTGTCGTTGGTAAATTAAATTATGAGTTGTCTTCAGTTATTTCAACTTTACATTAGAAATTTGAGGATTAATGGATCTAATTCCATACATAATGCAATATAATTTTTCAATTTTGTGTATACTTGTTGTATACTTGTTGTACTGTAATCGATGTATTTTTTTGGATATTTATTATATTACTATCATAAACGATTTATTATTACCAGAGCCTAGATTAAAGTTCTGAAATTGTGTCAGCCATAACTAGCTCTCTCTCTCCATTACACCTCATCCCGCCTCAACGTGGCTATCGCTCATCATTCGGTTTCGGGCGAGTGGGGGAGAATTGTAAAGAACGCGTTCGAATCGAATCGTACAGTGATCAAAAATATCGATAAGCTGGCCAAAATCTCAAAATTTATCTGATCCGTATGAAAATTAGCAAACATGGGTTTTCATGATTGCTGAT